ATTATGTTGTGTTGTGGTAGATAAACCATGTGCAGAAGTAGTTTAACATACATGCCAGAATGTTTATTTTGTTTGCGGGTGTTTTGAAATAAATGTGACGCCATTGCCAAATATTAAGAAACGACCCATGCAATGATTTTTAGTGCATAGAGAAGGTTTCTATTTTTCCTTGATAGAAGTTGGCAAAATTAAGGAGTTTAAAAGATTGTTCTTGTGTAGACCTTTTCAACGTTTAACTTTTTGTAAAAATTCAGCTTTTAAAGTTTAGATACAAAACAGATACCAGTATCGTACAGGGCCCCGATACTGTACTAAAATGGTGGGATCGGTATCAGCGAGCACCAACAAATAGGGCTCCGATACCATTTTGAGAGCTAAATGTTTTCTCAAATATTGTCACCCATTCTAGGTAAGCAATAAAAAGTTCTAATGGATTTACTTTGTATTAGTCTTTTTCCTGCTCCACAAAGGTAGGCAGCAGCTTGACAAAGTCATGATGGCAATTATTTAAGAAGTATGTAGTTCTTCATATATACACAAACACATCAATTTCAAACAGATTATATGGGTATGGTATCGGCCGATACTGCACAGGCAGGTATCGGGGCAAAAAATGGCATCGGTGCAACACTGCTGACAATGTACCCTGTTCTCCCCCAAAAAAGAGGTTCAACTGATGATGATACATAAAAAAAAAAGAGTTCCTGGTGTTAAAATTAATCTTTTTAATTTGAACAGTATTCTATCAAATTAAGCTATTTTGAAATTAAGCAAAATAGCATGCTTACCGACACGTTTCTTTAATAAAAGAATGCATGTTTTAGATTTACTTTATTTTATGAGGTGCAACTGGTGGAACAGGATAAAGGAACACCAGTTACATTTTTTCACATTTACTTTACATTTAAATCCATGATAGATTCACTGTTATCCATTAAAAAGCCAACTGTTGAGGCAGCTCTTGGCACATGAAGACATAAATCACTGGTTTGGAGATCACTGCCTGGGAGGCAGTGGAGTGCCTTATTTGCATACTGAAAAAACAAATACCCAAACACTTTAGGGCAGATAGTCTATTTTCTGGTTATAGCAGTGGACAGATGAATTGTTAAGACATCAGAAATGGATTTGGAAAATTATTCATTAAAGAACACCTATTTATCTTTTCAGACCTGATTAAATCCTGCAGAATTTCACCTCCCCTACCTATAAAGGAAGACCAGAAAAAGGGAGCTGAAAAGACCAAATGCGTTCTGTACTTTAGGGATTGTGAATGGAGTCCCCTGCAGCCCGCCTGCCCCACATACGGCAGTTGAATACAAAAGACCCCCTTCTGTAAGAGCAATCACTACAGGAGGCCTCTTTATCTGCCCGACTGCAGCGATGTGCCACAATGAAGCCATCAGTGGACGCTGTGCCGTCGCACACTCACGCACGCACACTCGTGCATACAAAGACGGATACGTTGCATGTAACCATTTATTCTTTTAGTCTTTACAGGCACATTCACAAAACCATTCCAATAGCCTCTCAGCTAATGAGTTCTTTTCATCCTTCAGTGCCAGGCAGGAGCAGTAAGGGAGATGAGCGCTTGGTGCTGATTTGAATATTCAAATTATTTATTTCCACCCAACACATGCATGGAGGGACACAAGGGGGCTGAATGATGATGAATCTGAGTAGGTTTTTCTTAAATTGTAGTCTGAACGTTTCAGGGTGGATTGTGTTTTTGGTTTTCTTGTTTCAAATCCAAGTTCATTCAGGAACAAATCAAACTTTCACCATTGATTATTGTTCTCATACTCTGAGTACTTCCATTCTCACAGCCTCTCCCTCAGTGTAAAGCATTTTTTTTATAGATAATAGCTCACTGAGGAAAAGTAGGAAGAGTTTGTAAACTGCATGATGTAATGCTGTGGTTCCTCGGAAATATCAGCAGACGAACAGTTCCTCAGCAACAATCATGGGAAATAAGGCTTGCATGATTTCTGAGCTTTAGGCGTGCTGAGGAAAACATTTAAAAGAATTACATAGTAATTATTTCTGTGGCAAATATTCATTTAGGTGGTTTTATATGTTTAATTTAGCCTTTTTTTTTTTTTTTTACTTTCAGACCCGTATTTTATTTATCTGCCTCTACAGGCTGAGAGCTCGGTGGCGCCCTGTCTCACTTCTTTCAGCTCTTAGCTCTTATTTACAGTCTCCAGACAAAGGAAGTCCCTGACTGGCCCCCTTTTCTGCTCTGCTTTTTCCATCTAGGGTGTGACAAGCGCAAACAAAGAAACTGTCCTAAACAATAATCAAACCCTGAGAGAATTCTATTGGTCAATGAAATTAAATGTGTTGCCTGCTTATAAAAAAAAAAATCAACAACACTCAGCTTGCTTTGTGCCGGTGTTATAAATAATCTCTCATTGTACCTTATCTCCGCTTTCCTGCTGGTTCTAATTGGCTCATCATTTGGTCCTCAATCTTTTCTTTCCTATAATATGTTATCCCTGTAATAGTTTCTTTTGTTAAAAAGAAAATAAACATTATGGCAGTGTACTGCTTTGTAAAAGCTTTCATTTGCCTTAAACTCCCCACTGTTTGTAAGAATACAACCAAATACAACCAAAGTCCTGCTTTAGTTGTTATCTGATATATCAAAGTAAGGTTTCTTATTAGTGAACATGGATTTTCACTTTTTTTGACCAAAAAAGTATGCCATGCGTGCAAAATAACATTACCTCACCCTGCAAGTGTAATAAGAATGCTTAAACAATAGAGCAAGGCAGCATTATGCTGCGCAGATGCTTTCTCTTTACATGAACAGGGAAGGATATTAGAGTTAATGACAGATTGGATTGAGATAAATAAAGGGCAGTTATTAAAGGAACCCTTTAAGAGGCTGATAAAGACATAAGGCTGGGCCAAAGGTTCACCTTGCAGCGATACAATAACCAAAAACATGTTGCGGAGAGTATAATGGAATGGTTTAGATCAATGTCCAGACGTAAATCCAGTTGAAAATTTATTGCACAGCTTTAAATGGCTGTTCACAAATGTTTAATTCAATCTGACAGTTTTAAATGCTAGATGTTTGATGCCAGATCAAGCTTTGCACACCAAGCAAAGATGGTGGAAAGCTGGATAAAAGCTTTCAAGTTCTCTCTGTACATACATTGTTTTGCTTGCACCTTACAACTATAGATTACTTTGTGTTTTCTGTAAATCCCAATAAAATAAAAGGTGAATTTGGTGGTTTTAATGTGGGGAAAAAGCCTTTTACTGTATTGCAAGGGAATATGGTGAATTCTGTTAGGAAAGGGTGAAATGCTGTTTTTAAGATTGGGATTGGACTACTAACTGGGGTGGAGGAAATAAACAGGCGGTTTAGAGTGATTTGGCCTGTCACCAGTGAGGATTCACTAAAGTCCAGAGGGGCTTAGAGGACAGTCATTGGTCGCCTCCGACATCAAAATGAGGAAGTTTTAGCTTTTGGTAACGATGCATTCCAAGACTCTATAAAGGGAAGAATTTTATGCAAGTCCCCAAGGGAGGAGGCATTGTGGCACACCCAGGACATGAGGGAAAAATGTCTTCCCACTAGTTAGTGTTTTAGTAGTGTAGCCAAAGAGTTTGAATGGATTAAGGAAACAAAGTTGTTTTCAATGATATTTCAAATATTGAGACCCATTAATTGTGAATCTGTTTGTCTGTTGCTGGAAGGAAAAGCCCTTCATCTCCCAGACTGTTTTCAGTCAAACGAAATGTTTGTTTGAATAGATCTTTTACTTTCAGTTACATTTCTAAGCCCTTTCATGTGCACTATGTGATTATAAACATAACTGCCCGAAACAAACACGCATCAAAACAGTTGTACAGAGAACTCTGTGAAACAGCTTGCAGCCTTCCCATTCATCACTGTTCACACCCCCCAGTGAGCCTCATGTGTTGTACCCTGTGAGTGTACACAAATGTTCGGTAATGATCCATTAATTATGAGGATCTCCAAATGCCCGGGGGTTCGTAACCACCTGTCCGTGTCCACGCTGGAACCAGTAACATGTGCACACACTGCAGGAACTCATGTTCCTTTGACTAATTACTAAATTTTGCAGCTGGTTTAAGATGTGTAGCTTCCTTACTGTTCTTTTCTGTTATTAGTTTTCAAATTGATGATCATTAGTATGAATTGGAAATTTTTCAAGTAAGCTATGCAATATTCAGGTGAACTATTGTTTTTTAACATGATTTTGATTATTCACTATCTATTAACAGCTATGACAACCTAAAGAAGGAATGAAACTGTTTTTTTGTATTTATACAATATTCTAAAAACAAAAATTTGTATTTTGTTTTAGTCGAAATGGAAATGCATATTGCATTGAGTAAAGCGGTCAGAAATGTATTCAATTGTTAAATAAAAAAACAATTTTATCAGAAGTTTCAAAGTGTCTGATCTGCAAATAAATGCAGCTTTTTTCAGGCAGCTGAACAGTGTATCACAGTGTCAGGCTTTATTTGAAAACTTCTGGCTTCCTATTTTAAAGGTATAGTGGAGGATGTTCTTTTTCCAGGAGGATCATAATAAGTGGTCCTGATAGTTGTCAATCATTCTGCTGATATGTTTACTTTAGGTCTTCCTATATCCTCGTCCCCATTTTCACTTGCCGGCAGTGAGTCTGACTACAAAGCATGCACGAGGAGAAATTGGCCGGTGCATGCTCTCGCACACGCTTTATAGATGTTACCTCCCGGGAGTGGGTACAGGGATGTGCATTTTCTTTTTAAAGTGGGGAGGGCAGGTTTTTTTAAACCTTCGCGAAAATCTTCCACTATACCTTTAAGCAGGTAAAATCATAAGTACAAAATGTCCCATCAAATCTTTGGATTTTAGATCATTTTTTGAGACCTTTGGTGGGTGGCTCATGTCTATCAGCATTTTCTGAAATCTTTGATTAATCATGTTAATGTTTGCTATAAAACTAGTTAATTTCTTTCTTTTGTTTCGTTAGTCGAGCCATCAAGACGAACCAGGACCTTCTATCAGAGACCCCATGGACCAACATCCTTTATGACGACTTCTGGGGGACCCTGCTCACCCACAGCGGTAGCCACAAATCCTTCCGCCCACTCTGCACCCTCTCTTTCCGACTCAACTACACCTTGCACGGCCTGCGTCCTTGGGGTTACCACTTGTTGAATGTTGTGCTCCATGCCCTGGTCACAGCCCTGGTCACAGCCCTTAGTCAAACCCTACTCGGTAGGGGGCTGTGGAGCCTTTTAGCTGGGCTCCTTTTTGCCTCTCATCCAGTGCACACTGAAGCGGTCGCTGGTGTGGTTGGGAGGGCAGATGTTGGTGCAGCTTTGTTTTTCCTGCTGTCTCTTCTCTGCTATGTGAGACACTGTGGATTAAGAGGTGACACATGGAGGGCCTTTCAGAGGAGAGCATGTGGCAGCAGCTCTGCTGCCAGATGCTGGGGCTGGCTGCTGGGCAGCCTGTGGTGTGCAGCTGCCAGCATGCTGTGGAAGGAGCAGGGTGTGACCGTGCTGGCTGTGTCAGCTGTGTACGAACTCTTCGTTTTCCAGAGGCTCCGCTTCCGCCAGGCATTGCTCCTACTATCAGGAAAGGTAAATGAACTCATGTTACTTTGTTGGTGTGGTAATGTGAAAATGAGAAGTAATTAGGAAACACATTAGCATGTGCTGACACAAAGCTGCTTAGAAGACTTAATCAATGTATGAAAACCACTTCTGGTCTTTATCAGCATCAATGTTTAAGAAAAAACTCTTCTTCAGTGCAACCAAACAAGGGAATTGAAGAAAATAAGACAACCTACCACCCATTTACTAAAGCCTTTACCCTGCAAAAATGCAGTCTTATTTATTTACTGTATAGAGATTAGAGCTGAAACAATCAAAAACATTTTTATTAATTGATTAATAAAATAATTATCAAATAATTTAAAAATTGGTTAATCGTTAACTGGAAAATAGAGATTCTAAAACACGACTTTAGCTAATAGAGCAACCAACTTAGAGCAGTAATTACACAAAAATTGTAAAAAAGAAACAATATTTTGCAGTTAAGATAAAAAACTGTCATGATTTTTTCAAGTGCTCTGACCCACATGCAGTAAACCAACACAGAGAGACCAGGGAAAAGTTTAACTGGTTTATTGAGATGGATGTGATGAATCCAGTGTAGCTCTGAACACTGTTCCACCCGAACTGGAAAGTGAGGGGAAGACACTGCGGTTAGTTCAGGCTCAGTGGGAAATTTGATTCTTGAACTTGAAGAGGTGAAAAAGGTTGCAGACTCACATTTCCAGAAAATGGTTGTCACTTATTGACTCCAGTCGGTGTGGGATGTTCCAGTGTTTGTCTTTTTCGATGGAGGGGGGGACAGGATTTACCCAGAATGTGGTTGTTCGTTGGAGAACGGAGAGGCTAACTGCCACTTAGATTTCCTGCGGTACTTGAACAGGTTGTTGTGGAGATGGATCCCCTGCTCAGAGAGGAGCCCCAAACGATCCTTGGGGAAAAGGGTTGACCAGAACCACAAACTTGAATCCTCAGCTCAGCTTGTTCTCAGAAGATCCTTCCAGGGGAGAGAAGGTCCGAAACATCCAGTTTGCAGGATGACTTCCTGCCGAGAGGCAAAGACAAAACAGCAAGGTTAAAACTCAGGTGGACAAAAACTCAGTTTGACTCAGCAAAAATCAGCTTGGCTAGAGTACCCAAAACTGGCAAACACTCTGACGTCGAGGTAGTGGCAGTCAACAGCTTAAAGGAATAGTACACCCAAAACATGATTAGCCTTCATTTTCTACTCACCCCCATGCTGAACAACACTCTGGAGTACTTGTTTGATATCTCAAATGCATCTGGAGATCTGGGAGGCTTCTTGCTGTCTTTTTTGGAAGCGCTCGCCTGCGAGTTCACGACTCTACGGAAACCGTGTCAGACCAAACCAGATGAAAGTTCGCATTCAGCGTCTGCTCTGCCGATAATGCAAGAGTAGAAGAAGAAATGTGCTGTTTACCTGTGCAAAGAAAGAAACAACGAAAGAAAAATGTCTGAGGACTTCAGTGTTGAGGAAGAGCATGAGTTCTTTGCCGAGCTGAATGCAGACAGCAAGAAGCCTCCAAGATCTCCAGATGCATTTGAGATATCAAAAAAGTACTCCAGAGTGTTGTTCAGCATGGGGGTGAGTAGAAAATGAAGGCTTATCATGTTTTGGGTTTACTATTACTTTAATTACTTTTACTTTAAGAGCACTCCCTTAATGAGGTAACCTTCAGCAGGTGTGTGAGGAGGCCAACCAGAACCAGGCGCCGCCTGGTGGAGGAAGGAAGACAAACACAAAACAAACCACACAGACTGGAACCCTAACAAAAAACTAACTTTTTCATCCGTCAATATGCTTAAATTCTGTAAAAGCTCTTCTTTAAGGGACTTCTTGCTCTCCAATTATTAATCAATTAATTGAAAAAATAATTGACAGATACATTGATTTGCAAAATGATCGTTAGCTGCAGCCCTAATAGAGATTAATTTTTAAACTTGATCTAATCTGAAAAAACCTTATTAATGACCAGGAGAAGCCAAGAATTTGTTTTTTTACTTAACACTAAATGGAAAGAAAATGCACTTGAAAGAGAAGTTGTTCACTTTCTTACAGTGCTTCCTACAACCTCCTTCCTACAACCATCTTTTGCTGCAAAAAGCAAACATTTGGGCTAAAAATATACTTTTGAAGTGTCAATTTGGATGCTTGTGCCTCATGGAAACAGAAGCAAAAAAAAAGTCCCCTTGCTTTAAATCATTTTCTCATTTCAAGTTTTCAAAAGAGCTGTGAAGGCAAACAGCTCCAAATGCCCCTCAGGTACTTTATTTGGCTCATTTGTCAGGCAAGCTTTCCAAAAATACATAAGTGCGCTCTCCAGGGATTCATTCCCTGCTGCAGAAACTCAAGGAATTTGAGGAGGACATTCTGGACACAGTGACTCAACTGATTGTGTGTAAAACCTTCCAACAAGTGATCACCTCATTTGATTAGCAGAAACTCTGTTAAGCTAATGAGATGATCTCAATACAATAATTAACAAGCATGATTAAAAAGCCCCCTTGGGTTTACTCAGCAAAGGCATGCCGGCTTTGAGAAAGAAGATAACCTTCTAATAGTTGTTCCTCATTTTAGATATATCTATATATACCTTTGCTTGTTGGAAACCATTATGCAGCCTATCAAACGCATCTTAGAAAAGCTGCTGCCTCAGTGAGATTTCACCCTACCTTGGCAGAATTAACAACCCATTGCAGAACTGTGTACATTCAGAGGCACAGAGAGATTGGAAAGATGTAAAAGCACTTTTAGTGTATCTTAGTTTTATTTTCAATGTTAGGCCAGACTGACTCAACTGGGTCCCCCCACAACCACTGCCTCAGCAAAAAGAAAATCCACACCTGCCTTTGGATGTTACAAGTTGTATGGTTGCAAAAACAAGCAGTTAAAAACTGTTTTTCTAACATAATCACAAACCATGACTCAATGGTTGTGTCCGAATGTCCCATGATATAGGGCGCTATATAATCATTACGCCATTGTTCGCCAGTGTTCGAACATCTAGTGGATGAAAAAGTAGTGGACTCGAAATTTCCCACAATGCACCTTGAAAATTAGTGATCAACCATGGTCACTAGATGAGCAGATATATCCCGGAATCCTATGTAAGGAGAGCTCTCCTTGCAAAGCATTATGGGATTTATTGTCACATTGGCCCTTTTACTATATCTGACAGTGGCCACAACTAACAAAGATGGTGCAGGTAACGTGTGGGGAGTTGGAGACCAACAGGGAGCAAAAAGTAGTGATCATCTATCCAAACAGTCAGTTAACTGAGTTAACTACTGTATGAAGTCGACAATATAGTCCCAAGTCTATATAGTGATTTAAGGATATAGGGGTTAGGGCGGGCGTTTAGACAAAGCCAATGTCTATAAAAGCATAACTATTGTAAGAAATTTACATTTAAATGTCCACAAGAAAGGATATGCTGACATCAAGCGACATAACTGGACAATTTCATCTAGTTAAACAGAATATTTAATTTCGTAGAAACAAAACTAGAGCAGGTGTAGAACCTATTGAAGATGGGTAATAGTTTTAGTAATTGCATTGCTAAAATAACAATATCTGAAAACTAGTGCTGTCAATCGATAAATTTTTTTTAATCGCGATTAATCGCATCAATGCCTGAGTTAACTCGCGATTAATCGCATTTTAATCGCAAATTTTTTTTCTGATTGAAAATCATTTAAATACTCTCAATGACATACAGAAAATACATACAGGCTAGGTTTGTGCCAATGTTCTTTTTTAAAATGAAAACAGGTCACAGACACTGATTTATGCCATAGAAACAAACAAACAAGATGGGGAGGCATGTAGCAAAAAATAACAAATATGTAGCCAAAAAAAAGGCCCTGAAAACAGGCTGATGTAAAAGACTGTCTTTACAGTTAATACAGTCTTTTGAACAAAGACAAGCATTTTACCCTACTGCTATAAAATGTAGTACAGTTAACATTAGATGTTAATTAACCAAGATAATAATGAACAATTTTCAATCAATACATCAAAATCAATAGACCGACATCACTAGATGGAGGTAGTCTATGCTCTAGAAAGTTACTTTTCAGCCTCTTAACAAAAATGAGAACACACACACACCCACCCACCCACACACAGACACACCCACCCACACACAGACACACCCACCCACACCCACACACACACGATACCGACCTGTGGCGTACACAGACAGCAAGAGTGCCGTAGCAGATTCCATTTCACCTCAGTAATCTGTTTTCTCAGCATATTCCAGGTTGCTACTAGTTACCAGACACTCAACTTGTTTGTTGGTGGTGGGGCTTAAAGAAAAGGCACTAGCGTCACCCAGTGTATGAGCGTCTTTTTCCCTTGAGGAGCTCTCCGCTCTCGAAGCCTATGAGAAATGCATACACTGGGGGAAAATAGCCCCGCCTTCTCGCAGGCTGCAGCGGGATGTACTTGGAAAATTGTACCATAAAACCACATAGCGTTAATCTCACGTTAAAAAAATTATCGCCGTTAAAATGGCCTTGCGTTAACGCGATAATAAAGCGATAATTTTGACAGCACTACTGAAAACACATCATCATAAAATACAGAAAAATAAATTATTTCTGTATAATATTCTACATTAATAAAGACAATAGGCAAAAATCTTTGCATAGAGCCAATCCAATGCTTTAAAACTGTCAACAGTTGTGAAGAGTTTTAGCCAATGAACATTAAATATTTTTTATGATATTTATTTTGTACCTTGCCAAGAACTGAGAGAATATTTATTTTCTTTGTAATGACTTAAAGAGAAGAGCAGAACAAAATAGTTTTAAAAATCACAGCATGTGGGTTTCATGAAGGGGCAAGAAACCCATTTGAAGAAACGTTTTTGATGACAAATTGTAAAAACCATTGTTTTTGAATTTACCGATTTTAATGTGATTGTATTAAGTAAATAAAGGATTGAGACAGCAACTAAACACCACACCCTTACAGGCATTAAGGACTGCCCATAGCAGGT